ATATATTATTAAATTTAATACAACATTTTTTAATTAACATTATTATTTCAAATTGTTTTATAATAATGTATTAAAATTTTATTATTGAATATAGTACATTTATCGCTTTTTCATTAATTAAACCACCTATATTTTGGAATAAACAAATGATTTGTAATTTAATAGTTAATCAATGGTTTATTGAATGATTGATTCTCTAAACAGCACGAATCTTTTTATACATTTCAATAAAAGTTCAATGTTTATGATTTGAAAACAGCTGCGAATTGTTTCTTATATCGAGAAAAGTACAAAGACAATTTTATTAACTTTTCTTTAAAAAATGTAATTTATGTACACAAATCTATTTTAGGAAGTGTACAAGTATTTTCTGGTGTACGACAATTTTCTGGTCGACTTTACTCATAAAAAACACTGTTTAGTATATCCATAGTTTAACAACTATATAAAGTTTGTAAAATTTATTAAAAAAAATAAACTATAATTAACTATATTCATAATACTTATAAAAAGAAAATGAAATAAATAGTAAAGAAAAATTTATTTGGTACAAATATTATCCAAAACATCAATATTAAAAATTTGACAAAATTTACATTTTAAATTTTAAATTAAATTGGTTTGAGTTGTTGTACAATTTTGTCATAAACTATTGGACAACAAATTTGATATATTCAATGTATAAATCTGTTTAAATTTTAATCCAAAATTCTATTATGCCTAAACAAATACATATTATTTTATTTAGTGGAATTATTTTCGTTGTTGGTATAAGGTTACATATTTACATATTTAAAATTTTTAATGTTTTATTTAAATTGTATTATATTTTTAATAAAAGTTTAAAATAAACAATAATTTTTATTAATTGTTTTCATAAAATCATTATTCTTTTTGAACTTCTTTTTTTAAGGTAAAAAGGAAAAATAACAACTTATTCAAAAAAAGAAGTACAAAAAGAATAACAAGTAATAATTAAATTGGTCTTTATTTTGCTTTTATAATTGTTAAGATATTAAAGAAATACAATGGTTTCATTTTATGTGTTGTGAGAAGAAAATATATTATGATAATTAAGTAAAAATAAAACAATATATAACACTTGTATATAATTGTTAAAAAAGTTGTTGTATAATATTTGTTGGTAACGACGCAATGACTTAATAAAAAAGTAATATACTTTGACAAATTCTTAAAGATTTTTCATTGAACAAAAGTAATGTCACAATTATTAAACATAAGCCCCAATCAGAAATTAAATTATTCATCTCTTAATATATTATCAAAAACATATCAATAAAAATCTAAACAAATGTTTATTTTTTATTTACACATTCAAAGGTTTTGTAATGCACTAACTTTGTTTTTTCAATTAATTAAAATGTATACAACTTAGAGACAACTTAAAACGTGTAAAGTTATACATAAATTTTAATCGACTTTATTTTTTAAATCACATTTTTAAATAATTAAAGTAATTAAATTAATTTCATCATAGAAATTAATCAATACAACCCAATTTATTATTTTCATTGTTTGTGTTGTCATTAATAATTTACATGATATTTTGGTTATAAAAAGTTCTCAGCTGTTTAATGTAGTGTTTATCATATACTCTAATAAGTTATTATTCCGACATCTTTATTTAACATGATTAATTATTTATAAATTAAGTTGTGTTTGTGATAAAAGTATGCTTTCTTGTTATTGTGTCTTTGTTATTCGTAGTTTTATTGTATGTATTATTGTAATTTATAAACAATTAAACCGGTTGTTTAGGTTATGACAAATGTATTCAATTGTTCTTGATGACGAAAAACATTTTCATTATTTTGGTTTTATATTGTTCAATGTTTTTACTTTAAAATACTGTTTGTTAAATTCAAATATCTTTGGTTAAATAACTCATTTATTATTTATTTAATATTTTATTGACTGTTCAAAACAAAAATTAATACATTTTTTAAAAATGTAATATAATAAATTCAAATGTGTAACAACACATTCACTTCGTTGAACTTGTATGGGGATATCTTTCGTGTTGACAACGATATAATTATTGAACACAATGAGTATTTTTTAAATCAATTAATCGATTTGTTTTTAATATTTTCATTTATGAAAACTTTTATTTAATAACAAAAATAATTTAAGTAAGTCAAAATGTTATTTGTTTTTGTTTTTTTCATCACAATCCAGATATAAATTGGCAAACTTGCCCAAATGGTCAAGTTTTTGATTGAGTGGATACTTATATAGTAATTTAAATAAAAACTATATTTTATTATTTTGAAGAAATTGTATTTTATTATTAAAAAAAACCATTGAAATAGTAAATTATTTTTTAAGTGAGTTACTTTTTTAAAAGTGAGTCAAAAGCGAAGTAGTGAGTCATTTTTTGACAAGTGAGTTTTAAAAGTGAGTTAATAGCCATAACATCTAAAAACGGATGAACAACCTTTAGTAAATAATTCTAGATTAGACATCGGGCCCGTCTTCTAGAATTTGGGGTTGTTGGGCCCAATAAACTCAATTGCCGCGGGAAAATTCAAATAACACTTGCCCGCTTTTTGCAGCCATTCAAAAAATGTTATTTGTTTTTTCTTCCTTTTGATTCCTTTCTTCGAAAATAACAAAAATGATTGTTTAAAATAAATCGGATTTAAAACATAAAAATACCCAAAACAATAACGCAAACAACAAACTTGAAATTCCATTTAATTAAAAAAACCAAAATAAATTTTTTGTTTTTTTAATTAAATAAAAATATATTTTCTTATAAAACAAAACTCCCCAAAGCAAACAAAAGAATTAAACTATTTAACAAATTAAAAATTATAGTATAAACCATATAAAGATATTTTTTTAATTTTATTAAGTTTAGTAATTGTTTTTAACAATTATAGTCATTTTATGAATATTAAAGTTTATCTACAACAATAACATTATGTGATTGCGCATGTTATTTTCTAAACCTTAAACATACATAAACTTGTTTAGTATTATATTAAATTTATCGTTTTAACAATTTGAACTTTATTTACTTTTAATATAATTTAATTAGAGGTCCAAATGTTCCAAACGAATTTCTTTTTTTGACAAAGAGTTTTATTTTCCTTCTTTTTTTCTGATTTATTTTTGTCAATTTGTTTTGTTATTACATTCTTCGACATTACAAGTTTTCTTATTGTAGAAGCATTAAGTCTTGCTCTCTTTTTATCAAAAACATAATTAAGTAAACTAAAAACCCTTTCCGAATCAATACTTGTTGGGGGATAAATAGATATTTTCGAACCGTTCCTTGTAGCAACACATACTTATTATCTCGATGACATTTTTTCCAAAATTGAAGTGCGTTCATTTGAGTGTCGTTTTCTTTTTCAAACTCTTCTACTTCTTTTCTTATTTTTATTTGTAAAATATCATCTGTTGTTGCATCACTTGAAACAACATTGTATTGACATGTTGAAAACCTGAACGCAGACTTGATTGGTAAGCCTTGTAACAAGTCTTTCATGACTTCTTGTTAGAATAACACGCGTACATTTTCTTGTATTCTTATTGGTAGTTTCACTCGGTATTTTGGCGTAAGATAACAAGGAATTAAGTAGCATTTTCATTCAATATGGATTTGAATCGAAAAAATAAAAGCTTCTGCTGCACAACTTTTCCATTGAAAATTTGTGCAGCCGGGAGTTGTTCCTTCTTTTGATTGGTTGTAATCAATATCTTGGTTTTCAATTTGGTTTTCTGAATCATCACTACTAACAACACCATTGTCTGGATCATCGAACACAAAAACATTTGTTTCGACCTTTTTTATCTTTCAATTGTTTTTTTCTATAAATCATTTTATTATTCTTTTTTTTCCAATTTTTTGAGTTGTTCGTTTCTATATTTAGTTATTATTGCCTCTTCTTTTTTTACTTCATTTTGAACCTTTTTTCTTTTTTCTTTGTTGAGCTTTCAAAACCTTTTTTTCATTAAACTTTTTTTCTATATCAAAATGCTCCATTATTTCGAAAATATTCATCGCACTAACATCTTCTCCCCATAGTGTTTTTGGGTTAAGTACAACCCACAATTTTGTTATTTCATCAATTACTTTTGAAGATGGACATTTATCAGAAGAAAGCATATTATATATTGAGTTTAAAGACTCGGTAAAACAATATATTGAGTCAATCATATTCCAATCATCTTCAGTCAACGTACACATAGTTCCCAATTTAACCAGAGCCCCCTTATTTTGCTTCAGACATTTAAAGACTCGGAAACAGCTATTAAAACGAGTGGGGCTAAAAGTTTTTTCAGTACAATATTTTTCATTTGAAACTTGACAATTTTCCTTTAACATTTCTGTTAATTCTGGTGACATTTGTAGCGCCTTTGAAAATTTATTTAAAAATAATAATAATGATCTGAATTTTACAAAAGTATTGGTGACTTCTCCGAACAACAAATTTGATGTGTGAACTACACAGGTTAGTTTATTTTCACAAAGTGAGTTTAATTGATTATTTGAACTTCCATTATCTGTGTTTATCGCAAATAGTTTATTTTGAATATTGTTTCTTTCAAGAATACATTTCACTCCATTTGCTATTGCAGCGGATTTGTGACGACCCATAAATTCACCCAATTCCAACAATTCATCAATACACTCAAAGTCCTCCGTTGAAGATCTTAAAGTCACAACTATAAAATTTTTACCAAACTTTGATGCAAAATCAGTTGTGACATATGACTTCAATGGATCAATATTGTTGTTAAACTGGTTTTGTAAGTTGATTTTTTCATTGAAAATTTTATCTAGAAATATTTCCGTCATTGTTCTCGTCGAGTAAAGATGTAGTTCGGGTTCAAAAAAGTGTAGTAAATCGGCGAGACATGGATTGTCAAAGTGGCTGAGTGGAATAGATGCTGAAATGAAAAATTTCAACAACAGCTTTAAAAAAGCCCAAGTATGTGGGTCGACATTATTCTCACATTTAAGAAGATGGTCCTTTTCGTGTGATTTAAGTTTGTCGATATGAAATTCAAAAAGGTGCCGAGTCATTGAATGTGGTCCATTTTTTAGAGAACAAGTGATCTGTGTACCACAGAAGAGACAATAACAACAAGTATCGCGTGTGGAAAAAGGAGTATAGTATTTTTGATACCACTTTTCATTAACTATACTGGTTTTCATTGTTTGTTTTTTTTTGAGTTTTAAATAACAAATATACAAAAATGAATAATTTAATAAATAATGATTGTTAATTTTTATAAAGAAAATAAAATGTTATATTTTTAATGTTTTTTTTCATTATTTATTATAATAAAATATTGCCATTTTTCTTTTTTTGTTTCAATTATTTTTTTGAAAATAAAAACTGTTTTGTTTTATATGAACTCTAAATAATTTATTTTTTTTTTGTTTTTTTTGGTAAATAAACTCATAATGTCTTAAAAGTATCATTTTTTATTGTTATTTCATTTTTGGAATAAAATTTTTTTAAATTAGCATCATTAATTATTATGAAAACACGTAAAATTAAAAACACATAATAACCTCTATTTTACCAATTGATTATTTCAAAGTATTATCACGGCAAAATTAAACATTGGCTATTACGTTGCATTTTTGATGCTAAATATGGTAACGGGCACGATGTCTATTCTAGATAACTTTAGTAATCAAACTCTGTTACTTATTTTACAATTCCATTTTCCTATTTTTACAATTCCATTTTCTTATTCATTTTTTTGGCATCATTTATTTTTTTCTACTCTTTCTAATATATATACTTTAAATTATTAATAAATATTAATAAAAAGATCATATTAATTTCATCCCAAAATTTATAGTTTGTTAGTTTCTCCAATTATAACACATCCCTGTCAAAACAAAAACTATTTAGAATGGGAAATAATTCTAATGATTAGATGGATAGTATTCTACTTTTGTCCAAACTAGATTTAAAATAATAAATTAATTATAACTGCCAAAAGAAAAACCCAACGAAACTCCAAAAACGTGTCAAATGGAGTCTACGTTTACAGCATACCTTACTCAGAATTGTGTATTACTTCTACTTATTCTTTTTATCATGCTCTTCAAGTTATTTTTAATTTCAGACCCAATGGTGACACGCAAGATGATTCATTTATTAACTGGTCCAATATACTTACTAACACTTCCCTTCTATCCACTCGATTCTATTCTTTGTCGAATTCTCTCATCTTCCCTTCCATTCACCGTATCTCTTCTTCTGTTATTTTCATATACCTTTCCCACATTACAATTATCCAAAATAATGACTGGGTTAATGTCACGAGGGGGGAGTCCACACGAGTTAATTCAAGGGCCTTTCTTTTATTCATTTTTAGTGGCACTTTGGTCCTTACTCTTTTGGGATTCTCCACACGCCGTTTTCCCAATTCTTATATTAGCTATTGGAGATGGGATGGCCGCCATAATCGGCTATTATTCCACTAACACTTTACCTGCTCCGTTCGGAAGAAAAACTCGTGAAGGAACTCTTGCTTTCCTCTTGTGTAGTTTCCTCTGTGAATTACTATTCTCTTACTATTTCTATAGTAAATTCTTCTTCCTTAATTCTTCAATTCTGGCTGTCGTCGGGTGTGTTATGGAATATATCTCACCACCAATCTACGACAACTTGGCTGTGCTCTTCTCTTCGACGGCCATCACCTATGCCTTAAATTGGTCGTAATTGGAATAACATTTTTAATACCATTTTTTAAAATTTGCGCGTGAAAAAAACAAAAACATTTTGAATAACAAAAATATACAGATATGATACATTTAACATATAAAGAGGTCACCTTATATTGCGGGATGAAGGAAACCGATCGAAGAGTTGGTCGTGTCTGAAGAGTATATTTGACAAAATACGTGGCGAGATTTTGAGAGATGGAGTCAAACAAATCATCAAGTTCTTTTCATTCATCATGTTTATTTGATGTTTTTGGACAATCTTTGTTGTCAAATGGCTGAACAGCTGATTTGTCACTTTCCTTCATATAGTATTTGGAATAGTTATTTGAATTATTCTTTTATAACTATAAAAATGAGAACAATCTCACCATCTCTCAATGCCGAGATTGAAATTGGTGGAAACAAACGTCTAATATATCCTTAGTTGGGGGGTAAATTGTGTTCAGTTCTTTCTTCAACTTAGTCACCTCGAAGTTTTCCGTTTCGACGATTTTGTACAACTTTTTAGCGTCTTCCTGTAACACCAATCCATCGATTAATTCTCGAAAGAATTGTTTAATAATATTAGTAATTGAGTGAATTGAATACCTTGACCAATCGACTTCCTCTGCGTTTTCAAGTCGCGTTCGGATCTTTTTCATTTCCTCGGCGTCGCCCGAGAGTCTAAAAATGCCTTCGACTTCCGTTGATGAGTTTTCGATGAATCGAATAGCTGTAAATAAGAAGTATGGGACGTTTAACCCGTCCAAAGGTCGATGACAGACCATAACGACTTTGAGAGGTTGCCCGAATAATGGGATGTACGGAATGGCTCGAATGGGGTGTTCAAATTTCTCGACGTTATTTAAGATGAGTTTTGTTTCCGTTATAAATTGGTCCGACGCACGCGTTATAACTATTTTTTCTACAACTTTTAATACAGGAACTCCATTCCGTAACGACACGACGGGGACACCATAGATCCCAGTAAACGCAATTGTATTCTCAACCACTGAATACCTCATCGATGAGATTAATGGAACGGCAAAGGCCTTTGCTCGCTCTAAAATAACAACATCAGATTGATGTGGCGGAATGACACGTGGTGAAGCACGGCGACGGGGGGATGTACTTTTAGAAAATTGTCCGTCTATGCCGGCAAACAAAATGTGATTTAATATTAATTGGATCCGATATTCTTCTAATAACTCGCCATCGTCCCGAATAGTGGTCGTCACAGTCCCCATCTCAATACTATTCGCCTTAGAAAAGATGTGTTGAACAATTTCGAGCGTAGCTCCAGTCTTCGACATATCGTATTTTCTAGTTTTATCGGTCTTTTTCTTTTTTCAATTTCTTCTTCTGTGGATTGTATGTACTATTTATTTATAATTATTTTACTATATTTTTTCTTATGAAAAAAAGCTGTTTTTCGTTTTATTTTTATTTTTTATGATTTTTTAATTTATTACAAAAATTGGATGGAAATATTATCATCATGGATTGGGACAAAAAATGGTAATAAAAATTTACATATTTTTTATTAAAAATTTACTAGTCAATATGGATTAAATATATAATATTTATATTATATTAAATATTAAAATAATAATATTTTAATATTTAAATAATAAATAAAATATTAAAATAAAATAAAAATAAACTAGAAATGAACCATTTTTGAATTAAAAATAATTAATAACCAATCAATAAACCAAAACACAATCATCCTCACAAACAACATCAAACGTTACGGTCTTCTCAATCTCACCAATCTTGACGAAAAGACTTCCTTTTCCTATTTGATAACACCAGGCCACAATCTTGCACTCATTCTCGTTCTGCACAACCACTCCAGAAATTCTTTTTTGATTCAAAAAAATGTGAGATTGAATCTCATCAATTCGGAATGTCTTTTGCGGAATGACAGCACACATAAGGCTGCCACATGGGATTGACTTCTCAAGTAAAATAGTGAAATCAGTTGTGGTGGAAGATGGGTCAGACGTGACTCGTCGGGGGACACCGACCACTTGTTTCGTTGTGTAATACAACCGTACATTGTCAAAGAGGAGTTCAACAGACACCTCGAAAGGGTTGATGCTCCCCGTCACCACCACGTTTTTTTCTTCAGTCATTCCTCCTGTCACCTTTACCTCGAACTTCTCTTCAACGGGGTTGTTAAACCGGTCGAAGAGTGCGATGGTGTGTTTTGAAGGTACGTCTATTTCGGCGATGATCACATCAAGATCCTCATTGCCCTTCTCATCAAACATTTTTGTTTTGGACCAGTCGACCTTCTCAGGTAGAACAGTAAAGACGACTTTGTCGAGGATCGTTTTCTTGTTCAGTATCTCTATCTCATATTCCCCAGTGCTGTACAACACTGGAGTACAGCTGATGTACCCCTCTAGACTATTCTCAACAGCAAGGATCATGCGCTGAGTGTTGTACAGGAGCTCCATCGACACTTCACCGATGGAAGTGATGTTCTTTAAAAAGTCAAAGCATTTCAGAACAATCGTCTGAACAGACCCAGCGTGGATTGTCGGTGAGAATGACGCATTGTGCGTCTTCATATCTCCAGGCACAATTTGAATGTGGATGGAATCTCCACCACTGCGTGTTAGTCACTTTTTATGGTGATGAGTGGTGGTATTAATAATTTATTAATTATTTATTAGTAAATTAATTATTAAAGTGATCAAAACAAACAAACAGAAAAGATAACAAATACTCTCCGACAAGGGACTTATTGATTTTCGGAATTTCAACAGTAAGGTGGAGGGGGCTTTGGATCGGCATTTGATACACTTTGCCGTTAAAGACACAGTTAATCTCCTTTGGTGTACCAGTAAACGTTGCAGCGAATTCTCCCAGCGCGTCGGCACGCTTCACAATAACTGCCTCCTCTTTCCACATTATTTCCGGCTTCTCGACAGAATCACTTTCAGTCTCCATCGGTGTTATTACCTTTCCCTCGATGGCAGAGAGTATATAATTAACGAAATAACCAACTTTGTTGATGAGACTGTCGGTCGATGTCCAAAATGTGTCTCCAACAGTCGCGTAAAGACATTGAGATGTTGGCACTTTTGACGTTAATAAAAGTGTTCGACAGTTGCATATTGACTTTATGTCCTGTTCTGGAATTTCGTCGAAAAAGACAATCAGCGAGCTCTTCTCGGCGTTTGGAAGAGCTTCACAAAACTTAGCGAATGTTTCCAAATTGTCGATTTCGACCACTGTGGTCGAACTAACCTCCAGGGCTTCTGTTAAAATCGGTGAAATTTGGTGTTTAGAAAGCCAAATAAGAAATTGCTCGTTTTGCGTCACCGTCACTTCGTTCCGACATATGTGGAACCAAAGAAGAACCAACATATTTAAACTCCACTCCCCAAGCTTGTCGCTCACATTTTCAAAATCTTTAAACACACCTCCAAGGTGGTGGTTGTAGTACATTGCTTTATAGTCACACCACTGTTCATCTTATATGTATAAAATAATAAAAAATGATAAAAGCAAACTCTCAACACAACGAAATGAGACGTTTGGCGCCGTTTCTAAGTTCTTGACAACTCCTTTTAAACATTGAATATCGATGGGATCTGTCCAATAATCGTATTTTGTGATGTTGTTCATGACAATAACAATAACAAGTTCATGTCTTGGAGCTTTTTTCTTCTTAAAAACATTTTAAAAACATTAAAAAAAAATAAAAAAACAATTTTTTTAAATATTTAAAAAACATTTAAAAAACGTTTTTAAAAACAATTAAAAAAACATTTTTTCTTAAAATAATTTTCAAAACCCAAATGGTATCCAAAAAACAATTCCACTTCTATTGTTGCAAAGAAGAACTAATAAATTTTGTTGATAAATATGTCGAAGGTTTTGCTTCTTCTTTTTGTGTTTCATGTGATGACGGCCAGCGCCACTGAGGCGCTTAATTTGTCGCAGACGATTGCTCTGTTAGTAGAGAACACGTTGACATCTTCTCTCTCATTAATAAGTACTTTATTTGTAGCGTATTCGATGGTGTATCTTCGGCTCTTAGCAAAGGGTATATCTCACCAAATGATATTTTGTTTATTATGTTGTTCTTTTGTGAACCAATGTGTAGTTCTAGCGACTCTTTTTATCTTGCAAATGTCTCAAATGGTAGCTGATAACACGTGCAAGTTTTTTGCAGCAGTGATGCAGTTTACAGATCTATCGCAGTGTTTTTGGGTTTTAGCAATAGCCGTTCACATTGGGATTTCCTATTTTGTCCAAAACACGTTCATCAAAAAAAATTACTTTGTCATTTCAAATATCTTTGTGTGGGGTTCAAGTCTCGTCTTATCTATTATCCCCATCGACGACTATGGAATGAGTGAAGTCTGGTGCACAACGACTAACAAGTATTGGGACTTTTTCACTCTTTATATTGTTGTCGCTATTGTAGCAGTCATCGTATTTGTTATATATATCGCTGTCATCATCCAACTCGTCGTTTCAGACAAGAATCTGAAGTTGCGGCATTTGTTTGCAAAACTTGACTATGAAAATGGACTCAACGGAAGGGTCATCTCACTCATCAGAAAGATGGCAATATACCCGTTGTTGTATATCGCGTGTTGGCTGATTCCTTTCATCGACAGACTTGTCCCTCTCTTCGGCGACGACATTCAAGTGGTTTGTTATTTCTTTATTTCTTTCGTGATGTGATAATGTGCGGTGCTGACAAAGTAGCCATACCAAGTGAAGTACATCCACTGCTTTACAATCCCATTGCTTGGGTTTATGAATTGTTTATATTACGCTAAGGACGTCTCGTTGATGGTTCGATGGAGGATTTACTTCAGAAACTGGGGGATGTGTTACTCATGCATTGGAAATGGGGAGGAGATCATTCCCGACGATTAATTGATTATGTTGAATTGGTTTCGGTTCTTTTTTCTGATTTTCTTACAATTATAAACTCAAAGTGTGAGCCAAAGCCAAAAACAAAAATCTCAAAAAGCAAATCAACAAACCGATGAGGAGCGAGATCAACATCCAAGGGATGTATACCACTATTCTTGAACAGTGGTTCGGTGACCTCAACAGCGCAATTTGTTTGTTTTGATTCCACGGGAGCGACTGACGTCAAGCGACGGAAAATGAAAATCTTGAGATGTTTCTTGGAATGATATTTTCACTTTTTGCCGGGTTGCCTTCAGTTCTATTCGTTTGTAGATTAACACTGCGTGAATATGGATTGACAAACAGCTGTGGAGTAGCGTATCGGTACATGTAAAGCTTGGGATGATCGTTGGCGTGTGCACATACTTCTTTTACTTCTCGATAACCCACGTCATACAACTGTGACTTGTTCATTTTTATTTTTATTCTCCAAATCCTCCATTTTTTGCGTTTAAATGTTCTTTCGTTCTGTCAAGGTTTTTATTTTGTCGTTGTATGTTTGAGATTGAGAAATGTGGAACGATAACACACTTAAGGGCAAAAAATAAAACACAAAATAATGCTCGTTGTCGTGACACGACCAGAGTGGAACGATTTTTTAAAATCGTACATGGAGATTCTGCGAGGTACCTTTGAGATGATGAAGTTGGACGGCAGTCTGACTAAAGATGACATCAGGCAAATTGTCGAAAAGACAAAACAGAGGTACGCCAATATCAAGCTGACTCCAAACAAGAACGATGGACAAGTTGGAGAGACTGAGTGTGCTGCGGCAGTCTTTGCACTTGAGATGGTTATAGGTGAGTTGACTCAAAGATGCTTTCCATGCGAAATAGAAAACTGAAAGAGTTGTTTTGAGATAATTCAATCGTTGTTTTGGGGGTTATATATATGACATAAATCAATTACTTATGAAAATATGAATCATAAATAAAATTCTATTATCTTTAAAACAGAGTTTTTAAGTGAATTCATAACCAACTTCATTGTCATTTTCTTTTACTTTTTTGAAAAAACACTCTTCAAAGTACTGTTTAACTTCTTACCACAACAAAGATAAGTTATATTATAGTGTATCCATGCAATTACCATATATTAAAAAATCTTTTTTCATGCCAAATTGCCATTCTTTACACACAATTACTTAAGGAAAAAAGTAGTGTTCAAAAAGGCAATTCACTTCATGAAGTTGTAAAAATGTAATTTTGAACCATTTTTATTGAATAGAAATTTAATTTCTATTAAAATTCAGATATTACAAATGTAAAGTATCTAGGATTTAGTTTTAATTGCACAATTAAATTCGGTTTTCCTTGTTTTTATCGTTGTTACTTAATTCTAATTAGTCGAATTGGCATTTCACAATGTTTGAATTAAAAAGTTTGTTCTAATTATTTTTAATCAAATAAAAATGATAATTTGAATTTTTCTTTGCGTCGACACCTCATTAAATAAATAAAGATACATTACACATCTCTTTTTGTTAGAATTATAACTATTAGATAGTGAGTGATTTTATCTTTTTCAAACCCATTCACCAAAGATTTGAATGTAATTGTTTTAAACTTTTCATTCTTCAGGGTCATCTGGGTGATATGATGGTGGTATGTCGATGGGTTTGCTCCCAATCGATAGAGCTCTAATTCGCTTTGGAAGTGTAATTGAGTCAATCCACTTTCTCGTATGATCATCGATCTGTTTCGACTTGAGTTTCGTCATCCGCGCTGTCTTCAAATTTTTTTTGGTCAGAGCCCTCTGCAGTTCTTTAAGCCATTCTTCTTCCGTGATCATCCCAAGAAACACGCGAATTGATGGGAGCTGTGTTTTCGCCAGACTATTATCATTGTTGATTTGTCGAATTCTCATCAGGGTTTCCCGTTTTTTCGCGACTTAACTGAGCCATCGTTCTGCAAAACCGTCATTTTATCATTTTTGCAATCTTATTTTTTTTTTCCTAATTAAATTTTTATTTTTTGGGATTAATAAATAAAAACTATAAATATCATCAATAATATCTATTTTTTACTATACTTGCAATTTCCACACAAAAGGATTATACTCCCACAATAGTAAATTAAACTATACATTCCAATAGCAATTCTAAATTCCACGTTTTTGGTCAGTCAAAGTCCATTTTTTGTTTATCAATTATAGAAGATTATTTACTGTAATTGTGGGATAATTCGATTAACATCATGATTCCAAAAATGGAAGCAAAGTAAAACAGAATGAATTATTAAAACTACTATAAAAAATCATATCAATATAGTAAAAAATGTATTCAACGAACAAAACGAAAGAAAGACAATAAAAAAAAGAGTACCCAAACTCATATATCAAACAAAGGAGATGTTTGTTCCTTTCAAAACTTGAGATTCTGAGTTGTATCACAATTTTAACAGATAGGACTTTCTTCAAAACCGAAGCACAGGTCCTCAAATACATAAAACAGTGCACAAGCCACTCGACTTATGGACCAAGACCAGACCAATACAAAACAATCTGTTCACTCACTTTTCAATCGTTTGTTTTTAAAATCATAAAATGCAGAACGAGATTGAGAGGCGGCGGAATGAGAACACTTTTAAGGCGAGAAAATCGAGCAGTGACTGACATACAGCGATTGTCGAATCGTGATTGACGCGCTCCTTAAGAGGCTTGGAGATGACGGAAAGTATTGGAGACACATATACAAGTCGCTCCTATTGTTGTACTTTGTTATGGTTAATGGATCACCGGAGGCTGTGGAACTTATTAAGAGAAGAGCCATTGAGGTTAAAACACTCCACTCATTCCAAAAGATCAAGGAATCCACTGGGGCTGATGTTGGTGTTAATATCCGAGAACGATCAATTGCACTCAGCGAACTGATCAGCGACGAGAACCTTCTTGACAAAAAGAGGAATGCTCCAGACAAAGAGAAGAACGAGCTTTTGAACGAGGCAACAGTTTCTTTGGACTACAAAACTTCCATTACCGAAAAACACGAAGAGAGAAAGAAGGTCGAGTTGGCGTCAATTGTTCTTAAAGAGAGCGACGATACAGAGTCTTCGGAAATAACATCTGACCGATCAGAGAAGACAAACCCCGTCCCGCAAAAAAGAGATGACCCATTGGTTTCCCCAAGATATCAAACCGGGCAAAATGTGTTTGATGTACTTGACCAGAGACCAAGAAGTGCGTCAGTTTCATGTAAAGTTATTTCGGCCCCAAACTCAACCAAAAACACCCTTGCAAAGCCAGTCAAAAAGACTGTGTCACCGGCACAGAGACCAGACCAGAGAATAAACGAAAAGCCAAAGCTCGACGCCTTTGATTTGCTTGGCATGAAGCCAACACAACAACCAGCCAACACTATGCCAATACAAAACGTGAGACCATTCCCCGATGTGTTGCCCCAACAAACCCAGCCAACCCAACAGTATGGTGTTTTTAGTTTCGACCAAAAGCCAGTTCCACAGAGTGTCAGTGCGGGTGTTCCAACAAACCAGAACGACTCGTTTGTGTTTGACGAACAAAGACCAAGAAACCTCGATGGGAAAGTCGAAACGGAGAAGTTCAAGGGGATCGACTTCTCGGTGCTCACGATCGACTCTCTTGCGTCAAAGCCAAAAACTCAGACGGTCCAACAGCCACAAGTCCGAAAGACGCTAGGCCAACTCTAATTTTTTATTTCATGCTTTTACTATATTTTCTTACTTTGTAAACCATTCAAGATATTATTTTTTGAAACAATATATTTTTTGTTGTTAATTTGTAATAAGAAAAGAACAATTAAATAAAAACGATCATAAATTATAAAAAGCAATTTTTTCAACGCAATTGATGGTATTTTTCAAATATTTTTCAAGAAATAATTGTTAAGATCCTGAATTAGAAACAAAAAAAGTATAGTTTTTAGAACAAGTAAGACTAGTATGTTAAAAAAGCAATTTATCTGAAATAAAAAGAATAGTTTAGTAATGAATAAACTGGTTCAACCCACAAGAAGTTCATGTATTTTTGAAAAAAGAACGTATCTATTTTTGTTTTTGTTGAGGAGGTTGGAACGAGTTATATAGCCAAAATGTCGGGAAAAACGGATAATTTATAAGTTAAATTTTGAAATGTGGTGTGTTATAATTAATTAATGGTTGTTTAATGATTTATAATAATATATTTTTTCCCGGACAAGCAGCTGGAATAAAGGCGGTGGAATGATTTGAAAAAAGGGTTTCAAAAAATAAAAAAGACAGAATCTGCAGCATTTTTTCAATGACGTGTGAGCACTAAAAGTTTTGGGTTTTCTCTTTTTGGATTCTAAAAAATATGAAATGTGCGTATATCGCGTTTAAATTGTGTATTATGTCGGGATTGCAACATACGTCACGTCCGGGTGAATTGATACATGGGGAGCCCGTGTTTTATATAAAAAGTTCCTCAGAGAATCTCAAAAAAGAAAACGTTATGTCAGTCCAGCCGAAGCAAGGCCACATGAGTTTCATGACCCAGTCACCGGTCATGTCGATTAGTTGGTCGTCCTTCCCCACCGTCCCTTTGCGGTGCCTCTACACCACATTTACCGACACAATCACGTCGCACCTCTATATTTTGCAGTACGTCGTGCAGAGCGATACGATCACCAAAACCGTGTCGCCTGCAATCCACGACCTCCCGTTCACGCCAACTGCAGCACACTTCACACCAAAGCCCGTCTCAAACAACGACATTTTTGTAACTTCTGGTGACGGGCTCCGAATTTTCTCAGTCTCAACTTCGAACGACGTCGGATTACTCGAGACAATGTATCACCCCAAATGCCCACTTCCATCTTGTGGGTTTGATTGGTGTCACCAAAACCCAGACCTTCTCTGCACCTGGTACTTGGATAACACGTGCTCTGTGTGGAACGTTGAAACAAGGCAGATGACATGTACAATTAAAACGAAAAAGCAAATATTCGACATGAAATTCTGCCCGAATTCGCCTGACATCTACGGTGTCGCGTCGGAGCAAGGGTTGTTGCAACTTAATGACACAAGAATGGACAACCCCACTATGCTTCTCTATCAAAGCCCCGACGCTCCAGATCTGATGAAGCTGTCGTGGAGCTCGAGTGATCCGACAAGGATTGCGACGTTCTCGTCGTTTGGGGACAGGGTCGTTGTGATGGACACGAGAAAACCATTTGAGCCGATGACTCAACTCAAAATAGCACAAAACCAAGTCAGCTGCATCGATTGGTCGACAACATCAGCAAATGAGTTGTGCATTGGCACACTTGACAAGAAGGTCATGGTGTGGGTCATTAAGCCCACAAACCAAAACGAAAACTCGCTGCTTGAATTCTCTTCAGAGGGCGAAGTAAACGACGTCTGCTGGTCAAAGGCAAACCCGGAGTGGATTGGGGCGGCCATGAGTAGCTCTGTGCATTATCTCCATGTGTAGGTGACTAATCCTTGATTATTTGTGTTTGGTTCGTCTGTCCGCAAGTAAGTGATTCATTAGCCAATCGACTCGTTCAGTTCTTCAACGCACTTTTCGACATTTCACTCCCCTTTTTCTGCCTTTTCAATCCATTTGTTCCGTCATTTTCAATCTTATCCTCTCATTTCACTTAACTATATAGTTTAATTATAGTTTATTTGCATTATAATAAATATTATTATTTTTTATTTAATATTTAATTAATAAATAATTATAAAATTATAGAAAAAAATTAATATAAAGTCGGATTTTTAATTAACGATGGAGAAAATTAACTATACATTTAGTTTTTTAATTATAATCAATAGCTTTTTTTTCTTTTTTTTTCGAAATAATTATTTTTTTGTTTTATTTTTAAATTTTTTTACTTTTTAACCAAATTATACATCCAAAAAAGGAAAGCAAGAAATGTGGAGTTTGTAATTCATCTCTGATGAATTCTCGAGTGATATCAACCAACCGGCAGACCATTTAATATAGTTAATCAAATGAGTGTCATTGTTGTGATGTGGTTAATAGGTTATACCAACTGATTTGAAAAGCAAAGAAAACGATTGACAACCAGCGTTTCTTTGAAAATGTCAAATGGTAAAAATTAATAAGAAATTTACTATTTATTTATAATTTTTAATTAGCGATGGTCGATACTATATATTATAATATAAAAAAATAGATATAGTAAATTTCCTTGTTGTATTTTTGGAATATCGTTAATTAGAAATCAGACTTTACAAGTTTTCAAAACTCAAAATTGAGAAAAAAGTACTTGGTAAAAATTTTTTTACTAAGTACTTTTTTCACACTTTTTTCAATAAAAGAATTATAATTTATAATTAATTTTGTTAATAAATTATACATGAAGTAACAGAATTATAATTCTTAATATAAAACAAAAAAGAATCGATTATTATAGAAGTTAACATTCGTATATTACTATTTTTAATGATATTAAATTATATATTAATGTAGACAATACTATATATTATATAGTATATACTAATGTTTTAAAATAAAATTGATAAAATAATATCAAATGTAAGAAGGACTATTTCCTAATAATTATTGAGAAAAAACAGGTGGAAAGATTAATACAAAAAGAATTGTTAGAAAACATTAAAAAAACACCCAAACTATTTATTTTCTCTTTTAAACAAAATGTATCTTAAATACAAAGTAAATTTAATTAAAATAAATAGTTTTTTCAACTTTTGAACTGTTCGAAAAAAAATAAAAAACAATCATTTTTTGTATAAATTTTGTAATTTCTCGAAATATATACAAATTTATACAAATTTCTGAATTTATAAATCGGCGATGGGAGAACAAGAAACAACACGAGATTCGATTGGGCGGAACGATCGGAGTTTTGCACCACCATTAGTCGGTCCAACTGAAACCGTTGTACTTGTAAAAATCATCGAACCTAACAACAACAAGGAGGACGACAAGGAAAAACGAAAAGAAAAACAAAATCTCGACAGCGAGTCGTCGGAGTCAAATGACTTATCCACACCGCGGAACTTTCAGACAATGGACGTTTCAAGACCATTTCTTGATCAACAGAACGAAGCGTCGCGGACGTGTGTGTTACTCTTTGCGTTCGGGTTTGTCATGCCGTTGTGTTGGATTGCTTGTGGTGTGATGTATTTAAAGTCATCAGTCAGAACAGAGCGATTGATGGGATATACGTCCTTCGTCCTTTTTGCTGTCGTTGTTGCGGCAATTTTCGTCTTGTTTGTTGTTGCTCTCTTAGTCCTCGGCTTTGTCATCGATGTTTTTTAAGCCAAATTTGCTGTTTTTATACCGCTCACGGGTTTTCGTTCCAACTCTTCAATCTCAACTTTTCATTTCATCATTTTTCAAAGATGAAAGGTATTCTCATTTCTTGTCAAGGAAAAAAGGAATTTTATCAACTTTTCACTTCATTAAAAATTAGTAACAAAGTGAGTTAATTGTTATTTCATATCATGAACAAAACGTATTATTATAATTATAATTAATTAAACTAATTATTATCTAGTTAATTGATTTAATAAAGAGTGTTTTATGTGATACAATTAATTGAGATTTTTAATTTGACAATTAACTTCTGTATTTTATGTTATTTAAATAATTAAATAATGCAATTAATTGTAGGGACCTACATTTACCACCACCACCACCTTTACCAAAATAAAATATTTGCCGCGAGTGTTTTTTAAAGGAAGTCCACTTTTCAGCTACTGTTTGTGCGTCCCCATGTCACCCACTTTCCTTGTCCGTACTGTGTGGACGCGGATGTGGTTCCCCCCCGCTTGCGGGGGGTCAGGGGGGATCCGCGCCAAGGGAGGACTTGGAAAGTGGGTGAACGGTGCACAAACAGACTGTTTGAGTGTGTCTTCAGAGCCTTCTTTTCAATGCTCCGTCTTTCTCGGTTTCCACTGACTCGAGGTGAATTTTCGGCATTTTTTGAATTCGGGAACCATACCTAATATTATCCCAGTTTCCTATTTACTATAATTTTAATTTGAATATGATTCGAAATAGAAAAAATAAATCTATTTTAAGAGGTGGTGGTGGTCAATGTAGGTCCCATTAATTGTATATTTGGTCTCTTTTCGTGTGGAGAAAGATAATACAATTGTTTATTCCGTTTCAAAAATCACATTTTTATATGTTGTATATAAATATATTAATAATATTCATTATTAAAAAATTACTATTTGCATTAGTAATAAAAATGATTCAATAAAAATAAGTTTAAAAAATAACAAATCAAACAGATTGACAAGAACGGAACGAAACAACGTAAAAAGAAAAGAATTATAAAATTAAGCCTGGACTTTAGCTTGCATTCTTTTGAGTTCGTCAGACATTCTAATTCTTTTACCGATAACAGCACAAGAACATTTCGTTGATCTCACAACCTTCCCTTCCGCATTAACCTTTGCTTGTGACGTCCACTCTGCGAGTTGAGACTTCTGTGGGACCTTGACGATCTTAATATTCTTTTCTTTGCAAAGAGCGGTGATGAGCTTTTTGTAGTCTTCTTCGTCCAAGTCCTCAGCAATGAACGCGTACAATGCATTATCGTTTTCGATGAATTTGAGTGATTGTTTCAATCCCTTAATCAATGTGCATTGTACCTTCGCCTGTTTTAATACCTCTTTGATGTCCTTCAACTCTTGTGAGAGCTCTTCAACTTGCTCGACTTCTTGCGCAACTTGGGCTTCACCGTTCTCCTCAGACATCTCTTCTTTTCAGTTTTTAGGGTTTTACTATTTTCTTTAGTTCTTTTTAATTGATATAATAACGACGTTTGTTCAACTGTTTATTTAACGTGCTAAATTAATTTAACGTTATTTTGCTGTAAACAGAATTCGTTAATTTTCGGTGTGTTACATCTTTATAAATAGAAATATTAGTATTAATTAACTAGAAAATAGAAATTCAAAAAACTATATCAATTGCAAGTATTATAAAATATAGTTTAATATAAATAAAAATATAATACAGTGAAATACATTCACATGTGAGAATGAAAAACAATAAAAAAATGAATTAAGAGTAGTACAGCAATTGAGAAGAAAGAACTGAAAATTAGATGACGCACGTATTTGTGTTATATGGAGACAAGACGAGCGGGAATGCATTGAACTATGTAACAGCAAATGAACATCAAGCTCATTCTATGGGGTATTTCTTCCCAGTTCTTCCATTCCAAGATCCTAATACGTCCACATTCAAACTCTCTCCACAATTTACATATAGTTTAATTACTTATGATAACAAAGAGGTCAATGGCATTGAAAAACATTTTCCGGCTTGTACCAAAGAAACGTTAGAAAATGTTATTCAGTGGATCGACAGTGAGGAGGTCTTAAAGAAATCACAAACATCATTAGACGGAATGGAAACAAAACGAATGAACTTTTTTAAAGAAATGAATAAAAATCAGCTGTTTGCACTCCTCAAGGCGTCAATCACTTTAGACGTGGAAAGTCTGACTGAAATGACAAGTAAAATCATAAGTAATCAATTGAAAAATCTGGACACCGAAAAGATGAGAATTTATTTGAACGTGACAAATGATTTCAACGAGGAAGAATCTTTAAAATTAGATCATCGAATCGCGACGGGAAAGGATGATTATGTCCCCGTTCAAAAGAAACAAACCAAACCTGTCAATAATCTTAATAATCTCAATAATCTCAATAATCTTGAAAATCTCGAAAATGTCGAAAAAAACGTGCGTCCCGCAAAAAAGTCGACAAAAAGCGGAAAAATTGCGAAAAAGTCGATTTCCGAGAAAGTCGAAATTTCAGACAGCGCCGAAGAACAACCAAAAAGCGGAAAAGTCAGTAAAAAGGCCATTTCGGAAGCCGTCGAGAGCGCGCCGAAAGTCGGGAAGACTGGAAAGGTGAGTAAAAAAGTTGTTATTGAAAAAAGCGAAAAAGTCGACGAATCCCCGAAAACGGGAAAAGTCGGAAAAGTCAGTAAAAAAGTGGCGACAGAAAAAAGCGAAACCCCGCGCGTGGGTAAAGTTGGAAAGGTATCAAAAGCTGTTGTAAAAGAGGTTCAAGAAAGTGTGGATATAACAGATAGTCCAGAAACAGTTGAAGAAGGTCAAAATGAAATGCCGAAAGTCGGGAAAGTCTGTAAGACAGTCGTTTTGGAAAAAAATGAAGAAAATGACGAAAAACCGAAAGTTGGAAAAGTCGGGAAAAAAGTCACAAAAAAAACAGAAGAAGGTGAGGAGATAACAAAGCCAAAAATCGGGAAAATAGGGAAAGTTAATAAAAAGGTTGTCGAGGAAAAGAGAGAGGAGATTGACGAAGAGAATGAGCAAGAAAAACCGAAGATTGGAAAAGTCGGAAAGGTGGCGAAGAAAGTCGTGAAAGAGAATGAAGAAGAACTCCCAAAAGTTGGGAAGGTTGGAAAAATCGCGAAGAAAAAAACAAATTAATTTCTTTTTGTGTGTGTTATTTTTACTATTATATTCTAGTTTTTATTAATTACTACTAGTTATATTATTATTATATTATAATAAGTACTAATTAATTAGTTTTAAATAAAAACAAAAAAAATTAAAAATTAAAAATTAAAAAAGTGGAACTCAAAAATAAGTAAAATTAAGATGAGCGGTTTAATTTCGTATTTTTGGGGCAATACAACAGACGAAGTCCCAGAGGAAGCTTATCGCCGTATTCAGCAACTCCCAATGAGTCATCTTTCCTATTACCCCGTCGTTGTATCAAAAGAGCTGATGGCTTATTTTAAGAAAACTGAAATAAAGGTGCAACCCTACTCCCCGACACATAGTGTCGACACATTCTTTTTTAAGACGTCTGCTACAACTCCTATTGAACGTGTTCAGGCTTTGGCAGAAGCATTCAAGAATACTCTTCCGGTTGTGTATTGGACAGACATTCAGATCGACGAAAGAGCTCCAGCGGAGTTTTACTCAATTTATCTCCCAATGGCACTGAAAAACAAATTCAACACAGATTTTGTTATTCAACACGGGAAAGTCATCTGGGATTCCACTCTTGCAATCTCAAAAATTGACGTTGACAAACTGATTTCCCAAAAACGAACGACATTCCCCAATCTCGTTCTGCCACTTTCGTTTTTCAAATCGAAAAACTCAAAGAGCGTCGAAACTGTTTCTGATGGTCTTTTTGATGAAAAGAGCTTCACATCGAAAATCTCGTTTTCTATTGAACCGTCCCCGATCTCAAAATTCGTCCTTTCCAAGTTTGAGAAGTGTGTGGAACGCGAGATGAGAAATAATCTCGTCTGGCCTCAGGACGAACGAATCTCAAAGGGAAATTTTGAGAAGGGCGATAAACAAGTAGTTTTCTTTACTATAAACGAAAAGTCAAAAAAATTCTTTTTGGAAAAATACGACGCACTTGTTCGACAAATTTTGGAGTCCGTTGTCAACACAACACTCACAACAAAAGACGCAATCGAGTGTTGTAAAAGATTTAATTTGAAGACTTCTAAGAGAGTTGCGGCTGTCAGATTAGCAAAATCACAGGAAGGATGCGCAGTTAAGATGATGTGTTTGTTTTGTACTATTATATATAGTTATTTTATTATTAATTATAATTACTTATTTCTATAGTAATTATAGTTATAAGATATTAATTATTACTTTTGTACAATAGTATATTATATAATTTATTTATTATAATATACAACTGTTCTAATTGTAGTTTATAATTTATTAATATATTTTTTAATAATTCTGAGATACAGACTGTGTACCAGAAAACCGCAAGTTTTATTTGGAGATGTTTGCTGCGATTGAAAAAGACTTGAAACAGGTTCAGTAATTTTTTGATTGATTGTTGTTTGCCAATTTTCTTATTAATAAATAATAATTTATTAATAATAAATTAATACTAAAAATACTTTTAAAATGTTATCCATTTTTTAGAATTAAAAACAAACTGAAATAAGCTATTAAAAATACCATTATTTTCAACAAAAAAAATATTAACTTGTTTTTTCGGAAGAAATAGAAGAGTTTTTGTGGTGATGGAATGAGATTGAAGATGGCAGAAAGAAACCGCATATAAGCACGGAAATTTACAACAAAAAAATACAAACGAAGAGTTCTATATTACAGAAACGACTTTGAGCGCGGGTCGATGCTGACCTTCCTGATGTCTGAAAAGATCCCAGAGGATTTGCACATCTCTGATTCTGCTGGGTAGTCTGTGTAATCATATTCGTTTCGAGTTTTGTCGCTTTGCCGATCAGAGCTTGTCTTCCTTTCGTCGTTGACGAGAACGGAGAAGACGTCCTCGATCTCTTTGAATGTTGGCCGCTTTGTCTCTTTCTTCCTCCAGCACTTCCGGATTGTTTTTCCGTATGGACAATTAGTTGGTATCTCAAGTCGTTGGCCTGAACATACAAATTCCAATATCGATTCGTTGTCAGGAAACTGCAAAGGGTTATACGGACACTTTCCTATCCAGATCTCCAATATTGTTATAGCGTAGGAATAAACATCCGACTTGTTGCGCAGCACTCCCCCTCGGAAAATCTCAGGCGCCATGTAAATTGGTGTCCCAACATCTCGTGAGGCGCGGCGGTGTGACGACTCGATGCAACTGAGAGACGTCCCGAAGTCAGACACTTTGGCTACAACTTCGTCGTTCACGTTATTTGATACAACCAAACAATTGTCGGGTTTCAAGTCTCTGTGGATCACGTTGTTTGAATGTAAGTAGAGCATCCCCTTCGCAACGTCCAAACAAAATCGCAATTTAAGTAAATTGGAGGCAAAGTTTTCCTTCAAAAATTTCTTCAACGACCCCAATGGACAGAATTCTATGACCAACGAAATCGAGTCTTCGGCAACACATGACCCGATGAAGGAGACAATGTTAGGCGAACGCAACCGCTCGAATAAAGCCACCTCCTCTTGGAAAGCTGGTCGTAATTTCTCCGCCGAGTTTTGGTCGGTTTTGACCATTTTCACTGCCACGTCTTGACGTCTCCACCGTGCTTTGTAGACAATCCCAAACGTGCCTTGTCCGATGGGGGGTTGACTCAACACCATTTCGTCCCAGTCGAGTCTTGTTGATAATTTACTTTGCGCCTCCAATTGCAGTGTCACCCATAACTTGTCGCATTTTTCTGGGCGGTCCATTTCGTCGCTCTCATTGGAGTTTGCAGAGTAACTTGAGATCGACTCCCGAAAGTCGGAGCGCCGCACACTTTTTTTGTCTTTGAGCCCCTTCACCACTTGTGTTGGTGTGTCGTTTTGCATTGCCTTGATCACTTTTCGCATTGACGGAAATTTCACCGTGACGTTAATCGTCTCGTGGATTGTTGTTGTACACTCGACGCGGATTTGGACTTTGATCTCAAGGTGTTCTCTCTTCTTGACAGTTCCTCTCGACGGGCTGAAACTGATTTGGTACTTCTGTTGAGTAATTCCATAAAAGATGAATTTCAACGAGGACTCCGAAAAATTGACGATTTGACATTTCATTTCAGTCACCTGCCCAACCTCAGGCCGACTTTTGTCGTCGGTGAAGTGAAATTCCTTTGGAGAGATCCCAAAATACTCGTTGGGGAGATTAACAAGAAAACATCCTCTTTTGTCAAATTTGATGTTGTTCATCTCCATCATGTTCGCCTCTTGTTGCTCAAAGTTGATTTCTTTGCACAAGATGATGTACTTACATATACAACATACCAACAGGACTATATACACTATGACATAAAAAAGCCCTCCAGAAATTAATAAATACATCGTTCGCCGTTTCTTGACACTGTCAATACACCCACCATTCATGTCACTATAAAAGCCAGACTGACACTCACACTCATAACACCCATTACTATTCCCATCACATTCTTCTCCTTCATCTAATTTCCCATTCCCACATCTTTCACTCAAACAATTTCTTCGTGGAGTTTCGTATGGCAGATATCCAGTCTTACACTGGCACAACACACAACCTACACCATCATCGCACTGTATCATTACTATTTGACTTCTTATAATACTTAAAAAGAATAATTATATTATATAATTATAATAATAATATTATAATAATTATAATTATTATAATATTCAACAAACTTCTTCATACTCATCTATCGCATTGTTCCCACACGTCGGAAGAGCACACCCACTATACTCCCCAACTACTTTCGGGTAATATCCATAGTAACACATACACGTCTCCGGCGAGCAGTTGTCCGATACCATCCCTTCATACGACACATCACACTCTTCCCCACTGTCTACCATCCCATTGCCACATTTGGTGCAAATCTCGTTGTGCTTCACATACGTCTCGTTGCACACACATCCCTCCAATGCGACCGAACAAAACCCATTTAAACAAGAAAATGGACAAACTATACTCCACGCAATTGACAACGGCTGTGCTTGTGGGCTCGATATGAAAATGAAGTAGTCGAACTCCGCACTCAATTTCGCAAGGGTTTTCGCGCTTTTCCCGCAGCCGCTGTAACTGTACATCTCGCACGTTTCAATGTCACAGGAGAGGTTGTTCCCATTCATCTCAAACTGTTTCAACGGCGTTTTGATGATATGAATTTCAGTGTCTGCGTCGTTGTTGTCGCACGTCGAGATCAGCACCGACCGGTCCGCCCCGCGCAACAGAAACCACCACCCCAACGCTGTTTTAGGTCTACAGCTGGATTTGCTGAAGATTCCGTTCTTCAAATTGATTTTAGTGATATAAGGAGTTACTGTGATATCGTTCCAGTACAGTTCTGTGTATTGTTCCGAGCAGCAGTGAACGATCTTTCGTGTGAAAAGGACTACATTGCTTGTCGGCACCATCCCGTAATACCCAAACAGTTGCAAGTAATACCGCCGTTTGTGTAAAAATCCAATTAAAGAGGCGGAGAGGATCACTTCATTCAAATCGTCGTTACTCGCTAGACAATCGGTCGACGTGTTTTCATTAAAGTCCGACGAACACGACGTGTAGAGGGAAAGGACGGAATCAAAGCCAGTGAATATCCCCTGAGCTGTCACAAAGTCGATCACATTCTGCGTGTAGATTTGATCCACTTCAAACGCATAATACCCCTCGTCCTCAACATCAACACGAAACCACACACTTTTGGCATACGGCGCAGAGGGGTCAAAGACATGCCCACACATCTCCTCGCTCAATACAAAGTCGTCTTGGGCTACGTTATAATTCGTATTTTGTGCCGTGTTATTATTTAAAGTGATCACTAAAGTCTTTTTCATTGTATACGATGAACAACTTTCTATTTGAGTTTCGTTGTAGGCAACACAATGCATAAAACCTTCCATATAATACCCTTCTCCACATCTATGACAATCCCAGGAATACTCCGGGGGTGTACATAACGCACACTCGTCCGGGGAAAGACACCCACCAGAACACCCTTCGATCTCACATTGGGGCTCACACTGGCCTTTATTGGGAGTGTAACGGCTCTCGCACAAACAGTTCTCACAATGATCCGTCGAGTCACATTCTTCGTCAAGCCAGTTGATGACGCCGTCGCCACACGTGTTACCCAATGTAAAGAGATTGATCGAAAATGGGGCAAAGCCAAGGAGAAATGTATTTACTAACAAAACGAGTAGTACCGTTTTGATAGTCGAATGAACCATCAATAAAGTAAGACGTTTTGTTATTTCGTGTTTTGTCTTTTTTTCGATTCATATTGGTATAACACTTTTTTTAATTGTTTTACTATTATTCATTAATTCTACTCACTTATTTGTTTTTTTTTGGCGTGGTGTGTTATGTTGAGGCTTTTTGGTGGACAAAACCCCAATGATTTCGGGAGATAATTTCTTTTGGGTGTATTTTTATACACTTTTTTACTATATTTATTAATAAATTTTACTATAAGTTTACTATACTATGGGATGTTTGAAAAATCCAAAAACAACTCCGAAATAAAAATTGTTTTCGTTCTTTTTTTGTTTTTTGATTACTTTTTTTTCTAAAAATTATGAGTCAAAATTTGGGTTTTATAGTTTAATATTTTTTTTTCATAATTTGGGATTGTATTATTTATTTATTTATTTATTTTTAATTGTTTATTTTAAGTTCTCCCATTCGATGACATTTGACAACATTTTTATTAACCAGATATTTTGTTTTTTTGTTATTATTAAGTAAAATATATTTAATTTAATAAAATAATATTTTTTTAAATGTCTTGTTGCCATATTTAAATAGATTTTTTTCAAAAAAAAAAGAATTTTGTTGATTTTAGTTCATCTATTTTTAAAACAATTTCAAAAAAATGTGAAATAAATTTAATATAAAATAATTATTATATAGTTTAATATTACTATTAATAAACTAAATTAATTAACTGTCCATTAAACATTCTATTTATTTTTTTCTTATTCAACAAAGTTTGTTGAACAAACTTTCGATTATTTTATTTAAAACCAAATTTATTTATCTAAAATACTAAAACCAAAAATTACTCTCAAAAAATAAATGAAAACCAAAACATGGTTCGAAAAACCCAGTGAAAAAAAAATAATTAAAACTAAAAACTGCATTTTTTAATCTCATTTTTCGAACAAAATATTACTTTTTTATGAAAATGATCAATTTTTAGCCTAAAAAATACCCTAAAACCATCAGTTTATATCAGCCAATTATTATGTTCGATTTCGGGACATATAAAAATAGTAAAAAATTGTCTAAGCTCAAAAAATAAAATGAACAGACAGACGACAAAAATTATTAAAACCACTACATGTTGTTCATTTTACACAATTCACAAAAAAAACGATGATAAAATTTACTTTCCGGCACATTGAATACTATAGTTGATACTGAAGTGATTGAAAGACTTTTTTGATCATTTTTATTGTATTTTTTAAACCAAAATATTTTTATATAGTCATTTTATTTTTAACAAATAAAATACAATTATTTAAATAATAATAATAATACATATTTATTATTTGTGATTTCAATTGATTGTATATCCAAGGTCCTGAATTCAACAATTAGACCAGTCAAAATCATGTCAAGAATGAACAACATCGAGATAAAGTTGGGACATACTTTCTACATGGATGACCTCAAAGTATTGGCCCGTTCCACAGTTGAAATGTCCCAAATGAACAATATAATATTGCAAATGTTTGATGCAATGGGAATGGAAGTCAATCTTGAAAATGTGGAGTTGCATCCCGCAATAATGCTATTATACCAGATAACATGAGAAGTGTACCTGTTATTAACTCTGACAGACCTTATAAATACTTGGGAATTGAAATAAATGACATAGTTGAAAAAAAAAATAAATATTGTGAAAGAATTATAAAGGAAATTGAACAATGTATGAGCAAAATAACGAACACAGATTTAAGTGCGATTAATTTTATAAGAACAATTAATGCAGA